AATTTTATATTCTATTTCTGCCAGTAGATCCTCCTAAATGTCCTTTAATGGACCTTTAATGCTTTAAAACCTGTACTTCAGTAAAGATCTGAGTACATCTTCCACCACTGCCTTTATATCGTAATATCTCCCACAGATCAAAAGTGTACTTCCATCACAGTAATACAACAGGCCTCAATTGAGCCGCAGCATTGTCACTCATTAAACTAACTACAGCTAAAATATAATAAATCCAGTGTCGGCGTACGCACAGCGCTGTGTTGTTAATTTCACTATCCCCCCTGGCTGCTAATGTATACATGTGCTGTTCCTTGGGATAGGTTGTGTTTGGGGGTGTCTGTTATCCACTGTTGCTGAAATTCATTCGTCTTTGGTCGTCCGACTGATCGATAAACTCATTGTTGCAGCTCTAATTGTGATATAGTACGGTATGTCGCAACAAAATCCATTGACAAGCCGTTAATTGACACAATAATGACTGAATAATGAGTTTTGTGTGAAATTTAGCCCACTGACAGTCGGACAAATCAAAGTGTCATTTTGAGTCTGTGATATAAATGGCATGGCAAAGTCTCTGGTGGTGGATAAAGTTATGTTGTCTCATTGTTCTTCTCGCCCAGCCATACACATTATTATCAGGGGACCAGCTGTGGCAGGCCTTCTCTAAAGATGTGTATCATCAGTATGCATGAAAACACATTTGCAGGGTACATATTTACCCCCTGCAGTAATCCCAACAGACTGAGGTTGACGTTCTTAGTCATTAGGATGTGACAGTTGTAACACCTTGAGTCACTGAAGCACAACAGACAGAAACACATGCCTCTAGGGTGGGGAAGTCTATTTTCCATGGCAGATAGTTATGACTGTCAACCCCACACAAAAGGTTGACTGTAATTTAAGGGTTCGGTGCCGTTCCAGGTCCCTAATTGGCCTGTGCAGTGTGTTTATGATGAATTACAGAAAAGTCTTTACTTCCCTACAGACTTCCTCGGGTTCTGAATTTTGGTGCTGTCTTCACTTCTCTTTTCCTCAGCGTGGTATGTGCCTGTATGAATGTACACATGAAACCCAAGCTGAATACAGTACAAGGTAAATATTTAATAACTGCAGCCACGCAGTGTTGGCAGGAATCATTTCTGATCTCCAGTCCTGAGGGCCGTCTGAATATCACAGGGTAGGATATTCCGCTTTACATTTTCAGCACTGGAAAATGTTGGACTTTCCCTGGAGAGGGGGATGACACTTGTTTAGCATGATCATAATAGGATTTTCTCCAACATGACATGATTACTTGGTTGGGGATTTTATGCACCACAACACAATATTGTCTCAGTTGTATCTTTCCTTGAACGAGAAGACTGTAGCTTCTTGGAATTTGGACATCATAGTAGTCATTTTGTAATCCCTTGTGTATATTTGATGTACATGCATGAGGGAGACGTGGAAGAAGTGAAAGTAGTGGTTCCATGTCTTTAACTGAGATGTTGTCGGACGCCGGCTCTTCTGCTTCCCCCCGGGGGTTCTGAGAAAGACAGGAAAAGAGGAAGAGAGGAACCGTGGGAGATTAATTTGCAGCCAGACAGGAGTAGGAATCTGCGAAAGAAGAATGACGGAAGAAGCAAATTAGGGCAGAAAATGGAAGAAAAAGAAATCTCTTTTCTGGTGTCAGTAGGGACCTTCTACAACGTAACACACACACTCTAGTTTAGTGTGTGTGTGTGTGTGAGATGTGACTCACACAGCACTTGGCCACCCAAACAGCTAAGCCTAAAAATCTCCTAACTGTATTTTCTCACCACAAACACACACACACACACACACACACACACACACACAAGGCATACAGTA